AAGATTGAACCTATCCTCTCATGGCTCAATCTCAAGGACTCAAATCACGATCCTGCACAATTCAATCACCAAACATAGTAAAAATAAACCACAATCAATCGTATTCCACACAATCCTAATCCGAGAGCCTATGGTCACGCACTAACCTTTGCAAACGGATTGAAACGAGGAAACAAGGCACTCCCGACACGACCCGAACAGAAGGGAATAACTCGCGACTTCCTTTTCCAAATCAAGGTCTGAAACCTGATCTGGAAACTAGACACCAAGAGCTTCTCAACGGTGTATAAAACGTCTCCTAAATTCAAACAGATCGACGGGAAAACAGCCCGCAATCTCGCTAATCGAAACTGGAAAAACAGAGATTTCAGAAACAACACCCTGAAATCAAACGAACACAGAGAACGGAGATTACCTCTAAATCCGGATTCGAAACCTAATACAAAAACTAGACAGAGAGAGATTTCCAACGGCATAAAGATCGTCTCCTGATTCTCTCTGGTTCGACGGAAATCCTCCCTCGAAGTGGACTGATCGCAGACTCGAGACTGCAGAAACCTCACACAATCCAACGGCCATAACTCAGCGAATATCTCATCCAAAAGGCACGCGGTTTCCACCCACATCAAGAGCAAAGATAGGAGAACTTACCCTCAAAGTTTTACTCTGATCCGATCCGATATTCCCCGCCAATCATCTCCTCCAAAAACCCGAGCAGAACTGTTTCTCTCTCAAGAAAAANACTTCCCTCACAAAACTCTCTAAAACTCTTTCTCTGATCAAATTTTCGGCCAACCCCAAGAGAAAACGCTTTTCTCTGCTTAAATACGGAACCCTAGGTTTCCTAAACCAACCCAAACCAAACCCGATCAGAAATCAAAACCACACGGTCCAATTTAAGCATGTGTCGCTTGACACACACCTNNTGTGTCGCGCGACACAGCTCCAGCAACCAGATTCTTTCGCGAATTAAACACACGTGTCAATCGACACACAACCAAAAATCACATTTTTGGTCCACGGGCGTTACAGAAGAAACGAATCGAAAGCTGATCTCAGAACCAATGGCTGATGAAATAAGAGCCGCAACCTTCGCT